TGCAGTAGTGGCTATGTGTAAAAATTACTCTTTACTTTTGTAAGCTGTCTAGGTTAAGACCACCACACCAAAAAAAAATGTATTCTAAATTTATAAAACTTCTCAGATGATATGTGTCAACTGTTCATATTTTATAACATAGAAAATTATTTAGATTTCCAATCAATCTGAAAAAAATATCTACCTTTGAAATTGTTAAAATGCAGGAAGAAGAGCATCCCTTGCCGACTTCCCCTAGAATTTTAAGTCTTCCTTTCTCCCAAATCTCTATCACAGATCGCCTCTGAGACTTTATGCAGGAGTAGCGAAAAGTAGTTCAAAATTGTTGAACCATAGAATATTCTCTTTATTGAAATGAATAGTGGCACTGTATTTATAACATTTCAAACATACCCAGACATTAGAAAACACTGGTGAAAACTCTTCCATTTCAGCAGGCCTGCCTGATAATAATATTACTCTAAGTCAAGGTAACTAGACAGGGCTACCTCTAGTCTTTAGGGCACCTTCATTCGCATCATTCAAAGGCACCGTTGGGACTCTGCCTGGTGGCACAGTGAGTTAGGACACAGCACTGCAAGCTAGCCGCAGCTGCTTCAGTGCCAGTTTGGTCCCCAGTCCTAGAGGTGAGCTACAGGGAGCAGCAGACCTCTCCTGTCTCACCCGCTGTTACCCTCAGCAGTGTATCTCGTCGATCTGCCTGTTCTGCTCCCCGCTCTGTTTCTGGTGAAGCCTCTTACTGCACCTCTGGCCTGTACCCTAGTTCTGTATGCATAAATAAATACATCTTTAAGCAAACAAAAAAAAAAAGGCACCCTTGCAATCTGTTGAAAACTTTTCATAATATTCTGGTTTTGTTAGAGGGCACTGACTGCCCTCCGACAGACAGGTATCATAATAAATATGCAAATCCATAATGTAAATTATACCCTTAACAAACACATGGGGCATTTGCAAGTTGGAAAAAAGTGGAAATTGCCTTAGTAACATTTGTCTCTAACATGGACATGAGAAACCAGATTCATTCCCATAATGCCTGGAAAGTTTCTGTTCAGTAAAGTGGTGGTGTTGGAATGTTAGAGGTAGGATGTGGGATGAAGAGGTGTCTTTTCATTGATGGCTTCTATTATTGAGACAAGAGCTTGGTAATTGCTCCTTGTATGTCTTCCAGTCAGTTAGAAAGACTCCACAAATTCCATCTACTTAGCCAAATGGAAAAGATTCTCTGTTTACAGAGAAAACACAAAGCTTGCTTCTTACCCATCATTAAGCAGGCTGAGTATACTTAGCAGAACTTTTCCACTTAGGTGTCCAAGTTAAGGCTATCAGACTTTTTGCTTGAAATTGAAACATGTTAGAAACATTTTATAAGGAAAATTGTTCATGGACCCTTTCAAAAACAATGAAATAGTTTGGGTTTTTTCCACCTTGCAATTAAGATATTTATTTAAAAAATACTAGTAAGTCTTCATTCAAATCCATAAAAAGTATAGTCAGAAGACTAAGGATTCAGGAAACAGCTATTGATTTGTGAAGGGATGAAGAGGAGAAAGGTCCAGGGAAGGAAGCAACTTGATGAGAAAGTGTAGCTAATGTTTCTTATTTCCTCCAATTTTGAAAAATCATTCTAACAGCAGGGGATTATAGGACATTCTCACTCCCACATTAATCCACCTAGGCAAGAGGTAATAAGTGTGCAGACAAGACTTAGGGTAGGTTTCTCTGAGCAAAAGCAGCAGAGTGGGTGGGGCACACGTTAGCTGCAAGGCTTAGTGCAAAAGAGATTTTCAGTAAAGACAGACAGGGCAGTAAGGGAAAGTCCAAAGCCTTGTGCCCAAGGGGTTGGGTCAAAACCAGGAAAAGAGTCTGAAGAGAACTGGCACAAGAGACCCTTATTGGAGAAAGTTACACTATAGGATTTTCCAGAAAGGTGCCAGAGGTAGAACCTTTTATGGGGTGCCCACAGATGAGTGCTACCCAGGGAGAGAGAATGAAAGCTGCCAAACCAGTCTGGATACCAATCTGCATTTTATTTTATTTATTTATTTTTTAGACTCTTCAAAATGTCCAGGGGCCAGAGATCAGAAAATAATGAAGAAACACTATCAAAAAAGAGTCAGAGAAAAGCTTACTGATAGGCTACAAAAAACAGCTTGGAAGTTCTACATAGAAACCCTGGGAGCATATGCATATTGTATGTTGATAAAAATGACAAAGCTATACAAGTACCTGGAAATAAATATAGAAGTATAATAGTTCTGAAGTAGCCCTATTGGAGATCAAAGACTCTGAATAAGTAAGAGGAAGTAGTTTAGCCAAAGGCCACTGATGGCATTTCACAACCACTTTGTATCTCATGATTCTGACTAAACTATATAAATATGATCCTAAATCAGTGACACATTTGGGTGTCTAATAAGTAAACTCTCTTAGAATTCCCTACTTGCTTACTTGCATTTTTTTTTATTTCAACAGAGTAATGGTGATAATCTATGTATATATCTATTAGTATATGTATGGTGTGTCTTACTGTCACTCGGATTTTTTTAAGTTGAACAAAGATATAAACCCCTTGCTTTAGTAGATCCATAATTACAGTTAAGCTTTAGTTACTGTGGCTAGTTATTGTGGCTTCATTTACCTATTGGCTGCATGGTTTCAGGTAGAAAAAAAAATCCCATGAAAGAGTAGGCTTTTAAGAACTCAAAGTGACCTGCCTATTAGTAGATGTGGTTTGGAAGGCACTTCAGTGACAACATTGAGACAGAGCTGAGTAGGGTAGTCAAGATGAAAAACCAGAAACTCCTTCCTGTGTTTGCATTGTAGGGTGATTCAAGATGAAGTCAATAATTTTCAATTTTGCACACTAGACACCTGGGTCTTTTATAAATTCTAATGCCTAGAACATGCCTAGAACTAAATCGGGTCTCCTACGGGGGAACTTGGCACTGGTGTCTTGGTTAGGTTTCATGCAGCTCGTGTGAGAACCAATCCAGGGGCTGACAGATTTTTGTGGTCCAGTAACAGTCATTCCTGCTGACTCACCCCTCTTTTTTGAACTTGCACAGGATGGTATTGTCCCTGACTTGGTCTTTCACCCATATAATAAATGATTTGTCTTAGAGAATTTGTTTTATCTTTCTATTGAAATGACAGAACTCTCTTCTCACTTTTAATGTAGCATCTCATCATTATTTCATGTCTTTGTCTTCTTCCCAATATTACTTAACTCACCATTAAACCACAATATCTATGGATTTAGAATGAATCCTGATTTTTCTATTCTTAGAGATTTAATTTAGGCAAACTTTCTCAAACATTGCAGAACGATCTTGGTGAAAATAAAATTTAAGGGATAAATTGACTTCCTAAAAATAGAGCACAACTCATCCATTTCAGTTAGAATGCCTTCATGTTTTCCAGGCATTTTTGAACTCAGAAGCATTTTTAATAAGCTCACTTATGAATCTTGTTGAAAAATAAATAAAATGCACTTGTTTTCATTAAGGGAAGAAATCTTTTTCCATCTTAGTTGGTATTGTTAAAGGAGACAAAAAGGAGTCCAAAACTTGGCTCAGGGACACATGATTAGTGACATATTGGTCACAGATGTTCCGGGAGAGCATATTTTCCCCTGTAATTAGTATTTTAAGTGCCCACAAATTACATATGAAAGTCCAGATAACCTCCTTACCAAAAGGAAAGTTGGAGAAAATAAAGATTGTATTTGCCAAGTCTTTATTTTGAAGGTCTTCTAACATATTTTTATAAATAGGCAGGTGACACATGTCCACTTATTAGTTACAAAGGCGAAGTGACACTAAATCATGCCAACCTTTATGTACTGTCATCAATCCCAAATATTTTAAGTAAGTGCAGATACCAGGAAATATTCATTGACCATATCTGTGAATGATAAGATTTCTTGACACAGTTCTCCAGAAGGCCAGGAAGGCAAAGCTTAAGAGCAGATAGAAACTCTGTAGTAGCTGTGCTGCTTAAATCTGTAGACCTTTGAGGCAGAGTATGAGGCATTTGGCCAAACTGTATTTGGTTGCAGAAAGTTCTAAGGGACATCAAGGTGACTATTAACATATAGCACTGGAAACAGGGTTAGGAGTCACCTGGGAGGAAATCATGTTGGCACCACAATGCCAGTTGTCAAAAAGTTATGTAATTCCAGACTTAAGGCTCTGACCTTGAGGATAGTTAGAAGGAAACCATACACTAAAGTAAAAGCAGCAGGACAGACTGCAAGGCATAAAAATGATAAAAGACTAAAATATTATTATAAAACTTCTTGAAAAGGTTTTACTCACATTGGTGAGAAAACTAGACAAGGGGATGTTCCCATGAGATGACAGATGCCTTAGTTTTCATCAATTTAATATGAGGAGACAGCCAACTTGACATATCATAAATTGAAAATGATATGAAATTGAACAAAAGGGAAAATGTCTAAGATTTGCGCATTATCCATATAAGAACTGGAGTTATTACAGAGAAAACAACTTAATTCATTGACATATAAGTAGGTTAGCTATTAGCATTTTGATCAGTGAGAAAACACATTTTAAGATTATTTAGTAATGTGATGATTTTAAAGAAAGATAATTTTAAATAAAGACCTTGTAATATACTTTTAGCCTCAATGCTGTTTGAAAGTATTGTCATGGGGTGTCAGTGTTTGATGCAATCCAGTACTGGTATCTGATATTTATTATTTGATTGTATGAGTTCAAGATGTGATATTGTGTAGATTTTTTTTTTTCGTTTGAAAATTTGCTTTGTCTCTAGTATAATTTTATTTTATTTTTTAATTTATTTTCTTGCATCATTGTTAATTGGGACAGGATTTGATTTATTCCCTCATGTGTGTCCCTGTAGCTCTCACAATACTGTGGTGGTGTTTAGCTTTTTAAAAATGAACCTGTAAGAATTACTTCAGTTCTTTCATTTAAAAGCATCTACCTTATTTTTATTTCTTTCCATTTTCTTAGGAAAGTGACAATATTGGAAGACCCTGATCAAAACATTCACCTGAAAAACTTGTCCCTTCACCAGGCAACCACAGAGGAAGAAGCTTTGAACCTGCTTTTCTTAGGAGACACTAACAGAATGATTGCAGAGGTAATAAACTCTTCTCCACAAGCTTTTTTCCATGTTATAAGGTAATAGAATTTTAGGGACAGCAATGACCTTAAAAGCAATCTTGTCCAAATCTCAGAGCAGAAATAATGATACCTAATCTGAAAAGTGAAGAGACTTTCCCAAAGTTACCCGACTAGTTAGTGTGTAGAAACTGAAATCTAAACTCCTAATTCTTAGACAGTTTTCCGTTTATATTTTAATCTTTATTGTATTATTTTTGTTCATCATTGTGCATGATTTAGAGGTCTAGGTTCTCAGTCCCTCAGATATATGTACCACACCATACCTAACACCCACACACCCATAATCCTTCACCCTAGGCCATTTAACCCCTTCTGCCCTTCATATTCCATCCTTCATGCTCACTTTCTGGTATTCTCAATTCTACAGTCAGAATTTTAGGGTTGGTTTTAGATTGCTTTTGTCTGTTCCTTGGTTTTGTTTTTCTATATGCCACATGTGAATAAAATCATTTGGTATTTGTCTTTCTCTTTATGACTTATTTCGCTTAGCATAATCCCCTCTAGTTCCATCTGTATTGCCACAAATGGCAAGATTCAGTGTTATACAAATTGGTTTTCAACTAACCAGTGTAACTCATTAAACATCTTAGTTATAGAAATTTTGCATAATTTCAAAATTGAAAAACATAGACTTAATTCTTCCTAACCTCAAATCATCCATATATTGTCATTTACTTGCATATATTTCCATGTGTTTAGTGAATTAATGTTTATAAAACATTTAGAAAAATGCATAGAACACAGGAAGTGCACTATACAGTTGTGCCTATTATTACCTGACCTGGGGATACCATCATCATGTGTAGTATAAGTATTCTTTAATGGAATATTTGGAACAAACTTATAATAACCACTATTGATGTTAATTTGACACTCAAACTTAACGGGGCACCTATATTTTACTCTGGAAACTAGCCAGGGGCCAGAATTAACCCATATTGGGCCAGGGTCCCTAACTTCAAACAGTACCTGATTAGAGATGGAGTTACTGATGCTGCAATGATGGCAGTGCTATATGGACAGTCCTTCAAATGAACACCCTACTGTTATTACTGGTAATTTTCTTTTGTAACCACACTTCCAGAGACAGAGCGGGGAGCAGAACAGGCAGAGTGATGAAGTACACTGCTGAGGGAAGTAGTGGGCGGGTCAGAAGAGGTTTGCTGTAACATGTGGGTCACTTCCGGGGCCAGGATTGAACATTGAATTTGCACTGAAGCAGCTGTGGTTAGCCTGCAGTGCTGCATCCTAATCTGTTGGGCCACCAGGGTGGGCTTCATTTGACCTTTTTTTCCCTGCCCAATGTCTACCTTCTGGATGTACATCTTACATATAATATAAATAAATGAACAACAACAAAGTTGTCCACTGTCACCATAACTATTCAACATAGTATTGAAAGTGCTAGCTTGAGCAATTTGGCAAGAGTAGACTTTAAAATTGGTTCCAAATTGGAAAAGAAGCCATAAAACTATCACTATTTGAGATGATATGATAATATACATAGAAAACTCTAATAGTCCACTAAAAAACTTTTAGAAACAATAAATGGCAATCTTCAAATCAAAATACAAATCTGTTCCTATATTCCATATACTAATATTGAGTTAGATTACAAAGAAATCAAGAAAACAAGCCTATTTACAGTAGCATTTAACAATATTAAAAGATCTAGGAATGGGCCCTCCCTGGTGGCATAGCAGGGAGCACAACACAACACTAAAAAGCTAAAGTACTAAAGCACAGCACTAAGAAACTAAAGCCACTTCAGCATGAGTCCGATCCCACCCCGGAGGTATCCACATGGTTCAGCAGACCTCTCCTGACCCACCTGCTCTCCTCAAAAGTGTACTTTGTGGGTCGGCCTGTTCTGCTCCCCGCTGTCTCTGGTGAATCCTCTCATCACACCTGCACCCCTGGTCTGTACCCCAGTTCTGAATGCATAAATAAATAAATCTTTAAAAAAAAAAAAGATCTCGGAATGAATCTAACAAAAGAAGTAAAATACCTATTCAGTGAAAACCATAAGACACTGTTAAAAGAGAAGAAATAAAAAAAGGGAGAGGTATTCCTTCCTCATGGATTGGAAGAGCTAACATTGACCACTTTACTCAAACTGAGACACATACTCACACACACACAGGCACATTCAGTGCAATCCCTATCAACATTTCAGTGGAATTCTTCAAATAAAAAAAATCACTGAAATTCATATGGAACCTCAAAACACCATGAATAGCCAAAGCAATCTTGACAAATAAGGAAATGAATGGAGAGATCATCCTCATAGACTTCTCGCTCAACTATAAGGCTATAGTAATCAAAGCAGTACAATTAAAATAGACACAAAGATCCACAGATTGAATTGATGACCTGTGCTTATATGGACAGAGACTCATGATGAAGATGAAGTAGCCAAGAGTATACAGTAGAAAGATGAAGGTCTCTTCAACAAATGTGTTGGGAAAACAGAACAGCCACATGCAAAAGATTGAAACTAGACTACTGTGTCACACCATAAAAAAAATGAACACAAAATGCATTAAATAGGTGGATGTAAGACCTGAAATAATAAAATAACTAGAAGAAAACATAGGCAAAACACTCCATGATATTGACTTCAGAGATATCTTTAATGACTCATCCTCACTGGCAAGGGAAACAAGCAAAAAATCAACCAGTGGTACCACCTGAAACCAAAAAACTTCTGTACGGTGAAAGAAACTACCATTAAAATGAAAAGACAGCGTACTGAATGGGAGATAATATTTGCACATTATACATATGACAAGGAAATGATACCTAAGTTCTAAAAGGAAGTCATGTAATTCAACAAAAGTATCAAAAAATAAGCAGAAGAGCTAAATAGATACTTAATCAAAAAGATTATGCACATGGCCAAACATGAAAAAGAAATGTTTGACATCACTCACCATCAGGTAAATGCCAATCAAAACCACTTTGAGCTACTACCTCACACCGGTGAGAATGATCATATCAAAAAGACTAGAAGCAAGGGATATTGGACAACTGTGTGGGGAAAAGGGCACAAAAATATCTGAGCCCTAACTGTGGTAGGACTGTAAGCTCATCCAGCCATTACGGAAAGGTTTGTAGAGGTTCCACAAAAGACTAAAAATGGATCTGCCATACAACCCAGCAGTACCACTCTTTGGGTATCAAGCCAGAAGGAGAAAGATAAATACCAAATGGTGTCACTTATTTATAGAATATAAAGAAACCAAATAAAGGGCCAAAGGCAAACTTTAAAACCAACCTTTTGAAAGCTGACCATAGATAGGAAGGGGAGGTTAGTAGGGAAGAGAGAACAGTGGTCTGTAGTGGAGGACTATGGGTGCTTTGGTGATGGGAGCGCTGTGGAGACCATACCCGAGAGGGAAAAAATCCTATACCATCAAAATATTAATGAAGATATAAAAGAATGAAACTCCTTTTAAAAGTAATAAAATAAATAAATTATAGGTATAGTTAAAAAAAAAGCAAAAAAATTTTTAAAGGCACCAACTTTGGTAAAAAAAACTATCAGGTGTAGTGAAAAAGGAGTCCTGGTACAATATTGGTGGGAATGTAAACTGTTATGGCCAACTATGGAAAACAACATGGAGGTTCCTCAAAACATTAAAAATAGATCTACCACATAGTTCAGTATTCCTTTCCTTGGTATTTATCCAAAGAATGCAAAAAATGTTAATTCAAAAGAGCTATATATACTGCTATGTTCATTGCAGCTCTATTTACAACACTCAAGTTATGGAAAACACCTAAGTGCCCAACAACAGATGAATAAATAAAAAAAATGTGCTATATATACACAATAGAATACTAGTCACCTAAAAAGGAGATGGCTTCTTGCCATTTGGACAACTTGGATAGAACTAGAAGGAATTATGCTTAGTGAAGTAAGGAATCTGAAGCATATGGCAGGGGAGAGAGAGGGAGAAGGATCAAAACTGGGTGGGGAGAGCATAAGGGGCTGTGGTGATGGATCACAGGTGCCATGTGACAGGAGAACTACAGAGCCACACTGGAGGGGAGAAATCAAATGTTGTCTTTAAATGAACAGAGATGTACAAAAATAAGAAAATTAATTATAAACAGAAGTCAGGAGCATAAAGAAAGTTTTCCTATACCCCACTAAAAGTCCTGTTTCTCCATCCATAGTCGAACAAGCAGTGCTAAGAGATACAGGTTATAGACGGGGCTTACACACCACCAGACATGAAAAACAGGAAAGTTATCAACAAATACATAAAAGCCACCAGAAAAAAAGTGGGGAAATCTGTCCCTGCCTTAGGTTAAACTTCCTTCAGAAATGACTCTCACATGAGGGAAATTTAGGTCTTGTCCCTAGAATTACATTCATTCATCTTGACTGGGTTAGGGAACACTCCTGGCCTTGGTTCACCATGGCCTCTATTTGCTTAAAAGCTTTGCCATTTGGTATTTCAAAGTTACGCATTAACTTTAGCTCCATGTATATTTTCAGACTATTGTTTTATAAAGTCTAAGAACCTAAAAAAGTTAATCTGTGCAAGCTTTACGTGTCATATTTTACCATTTTACAAAATTCTTCTTACTTACTGAAGACATTATGATGATAGTATCATAAATAGTTGGCACCTGAAGATGTCCAATTCTGATAATGCTGGTTGTACATTATTTTGAAATTTATTATTTTTTCTTAAATGAAACCTGATTTATTATAAACTAAATCTAATAGATTCTGGATATGAGTTTGCTTTTATTTTTTCCTTTGGTAAGATAAGCTGACTTTTATAAACAAAACCTGTTCAATATACTCAGTATTGTAGACACTTTATTTTTTTCCTCAATCTTACTTTATAGACAAAAATTCCACCTTAACGTGTTAAACTGATTGCCCAAATCACACAACTACTTTGTAAGAGGAAGAATCAGGGTTCAGCTTTAAGTCTG